GTGCAACACTAAAAATTACTGAAAAAAATTGATTGAACGTGTACCAGTACCACAGTAATTTTTTAATTGAAATCTAACATACACCACGGCAAAGACCTCTTTTCAACGAGTAATTTTAAAAAAAATAGAGCTCTCTACGATTTTTTTAACGTCCTGTAGATCGTTTTGAAGGTACGATTTGTGTACGCAAAATGCCCAGAAAATCGTGTTAATTTCAGCTGGACGAGGGATTTTACGTACTTTAAATGGTACCTCCAAAACGACCTACAGGGCGTTAAAAAAATCGTAGAGAGCTCTAAAAATTATTTAAATAAAAATTAATAATGTCAATGAAAAAATTATTCTGGTACTAGTACACGTTCAAACAATAAATTTTTTTCAGTAATTTTTAGTGTTGCGCTCAAATACTACTGGTAACTCGATATTGACTCGAATCTAATCACAGTATATATGGATTTAAAAAGGACAAAATTCCCTAGAAATCAAAAAAAAAAATTAGTCCCGATGCGCTGAATATCGACCAAGATAGAAGCATTTGAAAATCGACAAAATTTCGATGAAATTTTTTGTTGCGATAATTTTGTTGCCGAGTGTATTTTTTTGCGATCTTTTCAATAAACTTGATTACACTCTAGGTCGGAAGAAGTGCAGAACTTTTGGTCGGATAATGTGTCAGATGCAGGTGAAATTTATTATGATTTCGCAAGCATTAGTGAAGACAATAACTACTTTGAAACGTTTCGCGAATCATCAGTGAGTTCAATGATTTAAATTATTTCATATTTTTTCAATCATCTAAAATTTTTACGCAATTTTAATTTTAGGATGTTGCCATGAACGTTGCTACTGACGATGAAATTGACGTGTCGGAGGAATTCATTACTCAATTTCATCCCGAAAGGACAACTATCCACGAAATTGAAAATCAGACAAATGACTGGGATGAAAAAATTCCAATAATTTTGATAGAAAAAGATTTCGATCAAGACAAATCTCCATTGAAAATACTTAAAGTAGGAACTCTAGTCCAATCGTTCCATTGCGAATTACCACCCATTTGGCGAGAAAATCCAGATCTATGGTTTTTAAAAATCGAAGCATCGTTTCGTCTCAACGGCATTAGCTCGAACGCGACAAAGTTCGATTTGGTAGTGGCAGCTCTCGATCAGGACACCATTGCCGACGTGGCTGACGTCGTTCGCGCCGATCGAGCTGATAACAGCTACGAAATTTTAAAATCGGCGATCATCAATCGAACGGCGACGTCGCGTGCTCGCTTGCGACGACAAGAGCGACGATCGTCGGCGAGATTTTCTCCTCCGCCAAATTCAAACACTCGAAGCAGCGATTTGTGCTGGTATCATCGGAATTACGCAACGAACGCACACAGATGCAATCCTCCGTGCTCGTTCGTACCTCACGTGTCGATGGTCAAATCGGAAAACTAGATCCGCCGGTAACGAGTTGGGCATCCGATACCGGCGCCTCGCTCGTGGAAAATCGCCTCTACGTTTACGATCGCGACACGCGCATCGTATTTCTAGTCGATTCGGGTTCGGTCGTCTCGCTTCTACCGAGGAAGTTCATCGTGGGTAAACTCGAGCGTCACGAGATCGTTCTCAATGCGGCGAATTTGACTCCGATCGCTACGTACGGTATTACGAGTATTTCTCTGCATCTGGCCATGGGTCAAAGATATTCGGGTCAGTTCGTCATTGCGGATGTCGATGCGGCGATTATGGGTGCTGATTTTCTCGCGAGACACGGACTTCTGGTTGATCTTCGAGGACGTCGCCTGATCGATTCACTGCGCAATATATCTATTGATGAATATATTGGTAATGCTCTGTATTTAATAATTTACTACAATAGCGAGTAATCGATTTATCAGACAGTGATTATCGATATAATAATTTCTATTAATTTTGAGTGAAAAAATATTAAACTTGTATTTAATTCTTCGTCTACGACTATCTGTAAAATTGAGTATCAAAGTTGCTTACCTATTGCGAAAATATAAAACCACATTCTGATAAATTAACTTTATTGAAAAATTGAATAATTTTTTATGAAAAAGGTTTCGATTATGATAATAGCTTTTAATTTCACTAAGTTTTAACTAATAATTAATTTTACTAAAAGTTCCGATTTAAAATAGACAAATCTGAAAAGGTGAAGATATTTTCTGGGCTTTTATTTGAAATTTTACCAGAAATTTTGAAAAATGTATGACTTTTCAAAGAGTATTTCGACAAATTTTATGATAAGAAGTAGGAAAATAAATTGCGATACCTGACTCGTTGGTTATTATATTAAAACGTAGCTATGCGCAAGCATTTTTGAGCATGTCGAATGTGTCAAACTCTTATGTATCTAGCAATTTTTATGCAATATAAATTTGAAATAAGTAATGATTTTACAATAAAAAAAATAATAATAAAACAGAAATTCTCGGAGTCAATTTTATTCTCCCCTTTATATCAAATTATCACGATTTTCATCTTAGATTATAAGGATCAGAGGCTCGGAATTTATCTGGTCTGTTCGTCTGAAAACATGATTATGTGTGGCAAAAAATTTTGAAATTATACTATTGTCATTTGGAGAGTCGAAGAGAATGAATTTCGAGACCCTTTGCACAGTAGGGTGTCCGTTATTTCCCGACTTTTTTGTATTGCTTCTCCCCCCACCTAGATGTCTTCTATTTGATAAGACAATGAGAAAGCCGGGTTATAGAGTTCGAAAAAATGATTTTAAGGTGGCCCCCAAGCGGCTTGAAGCTTACATGTATTTTAAATGGGAAAAACTTAAAAATTTGATTCTCAGCGATAAAAATGATGAAAAAATTTGAAAAAATTCAGCAACCCATGTATTTTATGTATTTTTTGACGAGGAATCGATTGGTGACCTTGAATTTGACCTTGAACATAACCTTAAAGCTACAGCGAACCAAAAATCGTTTTTTTCACGGTGACCCTTATTTTTTATTGCAGATTCGAAAAGAGCGGAAAATTTCAAGTCAACTTATGTCTATTGATTTTTTTTCAAGGGCATTATAAAGATGCTACAGATACAAATAAAACCCTAATTTTAGCGTGAAATTTTCGAATTTTTATTAGATAGGGCTTTATCTATATCTGCAGCGCCTTTTAAATACCCTTGAAAAAAAATCAAAAGACACAATCAGACATGAAATTTTCCGCTCTTTTTGAATCTGCAATAAAAAATAAGGGTCACCGTGAAAAAAATGATTTTTGGTTCGCTGTAGCTTTGAGGTTATGTTCAAGGTCAAATTCAAGGTCACCAATCGATTCCTCGTCAAAAAATACATAAAATACATGGGTTGCTGAATTTTTTCAAATTTTTTCATCATTTTTATCGCTGAGAATCAAATTTTTAAGTTTTTCCCATTTAAAATACATGTAAGCTTCAAGCCGCTTGGGGGCCACCTTAAAATCATTTTTTCGAACTCTATAACCCGGCTTTCTCATTGTCTTATCAAATAGAAGACATCTAGGTGGGGGGAGAAGCAATACAAAAAAGTCGGGAAATAACGGACACTCTATTGCACAGTGATAAAAGAGATAAAAAATGCACTGAATTCTTGCTGCAACTTGATTTCACATGAAAAATTAAAACCCGTTCCCCTTTTTGATCAAACATTTTTTATTCAAATTCTACAAACAAATTGTTGATTGATTTTTCGTTTATACGTGCATAAATAATATTCTTGTTGTTTAATTGTAATAGACTCCTTTTAGCTTAGACAAAAACAAATAGTGAGTAAATTTCATTCGCTTATGCAAAATACCAATTATTTCTGTAATAGTAAGAATAACACTGATAATAAGAGATCCTTTTTTGTTGTTTCATAATTTCAACGATTGAACTTCACAACAAAAGAAATGCTCTATTATTAGTCGAAAAATCAAATCCTAATCTAACAGAATAGTACATTACGGTACGGCACGAGCGCAGCGAGTGTCACTGGTCAGGGGGGCGGGCATCGAAAACCACAAATACATATTATGTATATATATTAACTATTAAATTGATTTTTGAATATTAATTATAATTATGATTCGTTATTAGATTGATTGGAATTAATAAATGTACAATTAACAAACGTAAAATTGACAAAAGTACAATCATTAAAAGTATTAGGAGTATTTGTCGTAGAATTTACTATTGAATTTACTCCCAATGATTGTATTAAATTTGAACTATCATATACCGGCTATAGCCTAATCAAATCAGCTTTTTCTTCGAATTTCCGACAAATTTCATTTTCATCGTCAGAGTCTTCGGTCGCTGAAAATGCATTTTCAATAACATGTTTGCTCATTTTGCTCCTTATTATAAACAAGATTGATTATCCGAACTAAAACCTCTAATAAAAATATACGGTTGCTAGGTGACAAAGCTGCGCACAGTGAAAAAAAAGCGAAATAACAGTGGCTAAAAGTGCAACTTTTGCCATCGAAATCGATGGCGAAACCGCGTACTTTCGACCGGGGGATCAAGAAAAACATATTTATTTTCCTTTTTTTTATAATAATACTTTTAGTTTTTCATATTTTTTTCTCAGTTAATAAAATGTATGTTTTGGAAATATAATGCTGTCTACCTCGGCTCTGCCTCGACAGCTGTTACGTACTCGGAGGCTTTCCAGTTATTCGCCTCCTAAGCACGTAGTCTACTACATCCTAATGCACTTCGTTCGAGAACTCGTTTGCAAAAGCAAAAATAAATATTTATTTTATATTTCAAAAAATTACGCTAAGAGGATTAGACACACCGACGGCACGAGTAGCAGCACGCACAGAAAGTCTCTCAGTGTAGAGGTAGGTCCAGCTCTCAAGTGTTTTGATTAGAATGTTATTTTTACTTATTATGACACCTATGCGCTGATCCGCCCTTTGGTAAAAGTGTCATTAAAGGCACACCCGTGTCAGGGTCATAGTAAAGACTTTCAAAGAGTCTATTTGAACTTCATTCTTAATAAATATATTTTAAAGCCAAGTGGATGTAGGGATATCTTGAATCAATCATAGTCAAATCGGATTTTTGTAATGTACTTATATATATTTGTCATACATTCAACATATCCGTTAGTTTATAAATGAACATATTTTTTGTGACTCTCGTATTGTAGATTTTAACGCAATGCTTGTATTCATCGTCAACATCATTCATAGATAACTTACACGATAATTATAGTTCGATATATTATGAGCTCGATCCTTTATTTACAATAAAAATGTCGCTATAATAATTACACGTTCAATACACAATTCGGCGATCGACACTTTTCCATCGTATCGTGACCCTCTACTACAAATAGACTTGAAAAAACAGAGTATGACGCGATATTTCTCGTGAGTAGCCCTGAAGTAAGACTAATCCTCGTGCGAAGTACTAAAAATTTACATACTCATATTTTAATACGTTACGAAGTGTTGTTCTTCTTTTTTTATAATTGTCTACTGTTTTCTCTATTTGTGGTGCACCTTCGTTACAAATTGCTTCGCATATACTCATATTATTACCAACAAGATTATTGAAAAAATTTATGCAACTAGCAACACAAATTTTTTGCTTCTTTTTTTCGGCAGTGGCTACTAAAATTATTTTCGACTCTCTTTATAGTGCAACAATATAAAGAAATATTTATGCAATAGTCTAACGTTAAATAGTCATTTATTTCGTTCTGTATGTTAGTTTCGAAATTCGTATCAATTGTATTGCAGCTGTATTTGTAAGTAAATCATAAATCGTAGCTATTACTTTTAAAATTTAATTGAAAAATGATCAAAATTCATGGATATAGATTTTTATTTTATATCATTCAAAACTTTCAGTTTTATCTCGCTTTTCATTACAGTACATACTTAACGAGATGTTAAAGGTAATCATACAAAACTAGCAAAATTCATTTCTCAAACAACTATGTAAAAGAAAAACATCGTTCAAAATCTATGCTAAATTTACCGGATGGTATATATTTAATAATAATTAACGCTAGCTATCGTAAGTATATAATACGAAAAACAGAAGAAAAAGATTCAATGATACACCCATTGCATGGGAAATTGCATCATCTTCGTTAAGCTTGGAGTGAACACCCTCGTTTGTGCGCTTATATACCCAATTATTCCAGCCGCACATTCGTATAGTACTTATACAATACGATACAATGTAATATTTACCCCGCTACACAATGTGATATATAAAATCTCGAACGATTTATCACGAATTGATTATTATCCTATTACCATCTAAAATATGTTTCTCATCCGTTGCGATAACGCAATTGTATTTATTTTTATTCTATATATATAATAATATTATTTAATGGAAATACGAAAAAGACGCACGGCTTATACATCATACAACGTGAAAAATAACGCAGCTGCTGCCTATCTATATGTATATTGATTCAACAATCGTTACAAATAGCCTGCCGAAGATTCGTTTTACAATAATTATTACTATTATTTTATTTATGTTATTTTAATATAATATGCGTGCCGTTGTGTGCGTTAACAATAATAATATTTATAATAATCGAAGATCTGAGTCGCGCGGGGGTGTATTATAGCTACGCCGTTATATTCAATTATACAAAATATACAAATGGGGGGCGGGCAACGATGGGGTAAATTTTTAAAATATATTATAATTATACAATTGGACTCGCTCCGCGTGTACACAATTATCATTATTTGAAATATAATAACCGCTGGTCGGTAAAGGAGAGATCTTCGATCTCATCCCTCAACTACTGCGCCAGAGGCACCCATTATCATGTGCGTAATTTTGTATTTTATCCTATTACGAGAGTCGCTCGACCGTGGCCAAGGAAGAGGCGCCGCCGCCAGCGCGATTACCGCCGCGCGACAAGACGCAGGCGTAGCAGGCGCCGTTCCTCATGAGCAAAAAGGCCAGCGAGTCGGCGTAGCCCCAGGCCAGTACGCGAACCCTGCGGTCGCGCGACTGCCAGTCGGCCTCGAAGAAGGTGGCTCTGCCAGCGCCAAGCCTTCTCCTCGATTCTCCAGTCGTCGTCGCTTCTTCTTGTCCTTCTCCTCCTCTTCGTCTGTCTCGTCGACGGCCGATAATGGCCGACATTATCGGATCCTCGTGGACGATCGGAGGTGGTGGTGCCGCTGGCACTTCCGTTTCTACGATCGGTTCTACTTCCGGCTCGGGCGATACCTGAGCAGTAGTTTCGCTGCTACCGCCGTTGCTACTGCTACTGATGGATGATGCCGATGATGACGATGATGATGTTGATGATGATGATGATGTCGCCACCGCCGCCACGCTGTAATACTAACTGATCTCGTCCTCGGGTAGATCAGGTAGATCGTCGGTCTGCGTGGCGGCGTCCCTTCCTCACGTGATCAGCACGCCGCCCGGGGTCATCTCCCAGGGCGGCGGGGTCGTGGCCAGCGACAGGGTGGAGCAGCGCGCCAGCGAGCATTGGTCCACCGAGTAGCGCTCGAGACCTGCATAAAAAACGATATAATGTCAGAGTCGAATTGTGGGAGTTTTATGCTCTATACATGCAGAAATATTACTAAAATTTTAAGTTATTTTTGTAACTTCGTATTTCAAAAATCTTTATGAGATATTCTAAAAATTTCCACGTCGCGTGGTAAATGTTGATATATCGTGAGAAAACGTAAGGATTGATATTTCAAAAATTATTTAGTATTGTAACAAGTTTTATCATAATCAAAGCTTTTCGATTTCATCAACAGATGGAGTATGGTCAATTCCCGCAAGTGTCAGAAAGAATATCTGATTGGTATAAATATATGAAAAAGTTGCTAACACATAATATCAACGTATTCTTTTTGGAATGGAGTTGATATTTAATAAAGTATTTCTCTCCATGCATACATCGGGTAAATCTATACCAATGCCCGACCACCGTGAGATATTATTTGAGTGAATAGTAATCAAGATAAAATGACGCAATGAACAGTTTTTCACTACTATGAATATGATATGTTCAGAAAAAATTCATAGCGGCACTTATAAATCGTCAAATCTTTCTTTTATGTGAACTATAACTCTACCCTGAACGATCCTGGTCGAATACTTGACTATTCAACAAAAAGTCTATATTGTATTCGACAGCTATTAAATAAATTTTAATAATTTCCAGGTAAATGTATCTATTCAAATGTTAAGAACTAAAAAGGGATCCTTTATTTAAAATGATTTCGGTCTTCGAAAATAAAAATGTTATCAAGTTTTAAGTTTGTGTCATTGGTGGTTCAGTAGACGATTCGCAACTTTAAGCTTTAAAATTATTTTTTCAAATATCAAAAGCTTTTTTCAATCCAATGTAAGTACTTATTCAAAAGGTTACCTTTTTTCTATCAGAAGGTATTTTTAGAAAATTATTTTAACTTTGTGCATTTTTATTTGCGAACAAAGTAAGAATTTTTCTCAAATGTTTGAGTACTGGTAGATTTACCCTATACCTCATGTGAAAATATTATTAGATCTGAACTACAGATCTGACGCACAACAATCTTACGTGTACAATAATCGACATCAGAAATCACATCAGATCTTACGTGAAATTTAATGTCAGATCTGAAGTAGAAACTGATGTAAATCTCACCCCTTAATTTATCAATAAATTTATTATCAACCCATCAAGTCCAAAGAAGACTTTTTTTCGACACTTTCTTCGGTCGCAGTATTTTTGGTGAAAATGCGGTCAAAAAATATGCAAGTAACCAGTTTTAATGCGATATATAAATTTTTTTAATAAATTTAGTTATATTTAAAATCCTTTCTCCAATATTTAGATTTTTAAATTTAATTTCAATTGACTCAATAAGTTTTATAATTTAGATTTATTATATTATTTATAAATCTAGTTTTTATTAAACGTATTATTAAATTAAGAGATGATATTTACATCAGTACCTATACCTCAGATCTGACATGATATCTGATGTCGATTATTGTATGTAAGTTCTGTTATCAAATGTCAAGCCAGCTGATATACTATTTTCACCTGGGACGTACGTATAATTTCTCAACCTGTATGTGAGTAAGAGAGAGAAAGAAAGAAAAATTGCCGGGCAAGTCCTTAATGAATACTACCGATAATTACTCACATCATCATCGTCGTCGCGGGAATTATAACGATCACTCGATCTGCGAACCCGAAAACTGGGTTATACAGGGCGAGTTCGGATCGTCATTAATTAAGGCACACGTGTTTACCTCTCTCTTACTCTCGTGCTACTAATTCAATTTTTCTCTCTCTCACTCGGCCAGCTTCCGCCCAAAATCAGCGTCAAATACACGAACACGTGTGTTCATAAGTAAATTTACTCACTGACGCGCGTATACACGTACGTAGGTATGTAGTATATATAATATTACATTACACACACGCGCGCGCGCGCAGGGACGGAAATTACCTGCCAAATCTAATCCGCCGAGGCTGCAGACATCCAGCGCTCCGGTGCTCGTGCTGCAGCAGTGCTGCTTCGTATGGTGGCTCATCATCGGCTTGACTGGTCTGCACAATAACTGCGAAAAATATACAACAAATTATTAAAACACACAATTCTCTTTATTGCGATAAAATATGTTCTTTCGATCGCGAGCTACCCCATATATATATACAATGTATATAATGTATGTGTGACGTTCTCCTCGTAAACTCGTGTCTCATTATAATCGTTCTTATTATACACCGCGTCGTGTTACGCGACTCTTTATATTTGACAATCGCCGTGCAGTATGTAAGCATTGAACACACACATACACACACAACGGTATAATAGAGAGAGAGAGAGTGAAAAGTATAAGCCCTTCGTTAAAAATAATTATCGACTTCATTACTCGCAGCAGCTTCAGACTGTGCCCCGGTGCACCACATACACAGTAGACACACGGACAGCACAAATGTACGTATATTGACAAATTGGCCGTGTCGGAATTAATTAAAAGCCTTGGCGCGCTCTTTGCTTTGCCCCGCAAACACTGCGTCGCGCGATCTGTCCCCGTGTATTATCGTGCCATTGAGTGTCAGTGCGCTGGCATCGCGCACCGTGTAAATACACCCTTACGTGCATACATATATTTATATATGGTATAGAGAAAATCGAACTTGATTCGTTTTTCAATTTAATTGTCTCGCTCTGTGATATTTGTTCGTCGCAGGGGGGGGGGGGGGGGG